TGCCCCTCCCCCTACCGATTTCTACCTGCTGCATGTTTAAAAGACGACAACCAAACCTGGCTGAAAACGAGTCAAAATAAGAAGAAAAAAAAAAGGAAAAAAATATAAGAAAAAAAAAAGAAGAAAAAAAAAAAAAAGAAAAGGATGAGAAAAAAGGAAAAGAAAAAAAAATACCTACCTTGTTTTCCAGTGGGGCCGTCGGTGCCCCACGAAACTTTGAAAGTTGGACGCAAGTTCAAATTCATATGCAACAAAAAAACAGGGGGGGGATGCCTCCCTCACAACTACTGCTCCCCTTCAGACGCTACCAACGAGGCAGGGTACTTCATGGTGTCGTTGGACACTTACAAAGTGTTGAAATGCAGGCATGAGTTCAATTGGGAATGAAATCGAAGTTCTAAGAACTACAAATTTTCATCCTTGTCGAGGGACCATACTGATCTTCCCCGGTCGATCTTTGTCATCCGATCTGAGTGATCGCGACGTAAAGATTGATCGCGCCTTGGTGCTCTCCCACCGCGAATCGCTCTAATAAAAAGAGCTAGCCCAGCGAGGGCGGATTGGTTTCGATCCTTGCGTTTGCAGAGCGAGACTCCGATACAACAACCTTTTGGGCTAACTCCTACCACGAAAATAGTAGGAGTGGCTCTTCCCTGTGGACCAATACATTCCTCAGGCTGCCCGCTCGTCAACGACTCAAACGAACGCTTGGTTTGGTAAGCTAGAATATCGGGTTCAAAGCCCCTTGGCGCAGAGTCAAACCCGCAACCATACACACAAAATAAATAATTAAGTGGCCTTTATTGGTTGTGTTATGGCCGCGAACCTAACACGACCATTTTATTTTCGTTTTAGACCATGAATCGCGTGACTTACCAACCTCACGTTATTATTTTGATCAGGATAAGTTTTAGATTTACTATCCCAACGTCTGCGTGCCTTTGCGGCCTTGCCGGAAGTGGGATACAAATGGTCATATCGCCCATTTATCTTATCAGACGTCACGTACATCCGAACTTAAAAAAAAAAAAAAAGACAATTCTGATAGGCACTCTGGTCAAAGGTCAGTTCGAATAAACTTTTAGGCAGATAAACCAATCTCATTCTATGAATCCTGAGGCAACTTTTACCAAAGTCGAACGTCGTCCGACATTTAAAAATACCGGGCATATACCCTTGTCAGGGTTTCTGCCCCGACAACGCAGACCTTGACAAAAAATAAAACATGGGGAAAAAAATAAAAAAGTTATTAAAAAAAAAAAAACTTTTAAGTTACTGGGGGGTTAAGGATAACCACCAATACTTTCCCCCTCTTGAGAATCGCGCCGGTTTATTATGAAGCCAAGCGGGATTGGACTACTGTTGATAAATTTCGTCGACGACTTGTTTTCCAATTGAGTCTTCTTTTCGGCCTGAGACCGATGTATGATAAAAATACTGCTGGTTTAAAGCTTGAATCTTTACTGCATGAGATAACTGTTAAAAAACTCCAAAGAGTAACTGACAATAATTGAGTTTTAACACACTCGTTTTTGCGTTTATTTTTTTGGATTGCAACAATAGATAAAAACTTGCTCTGATGGGTAGTGTAGCGACGAGAGTCCAAAATCTTGAAACCACCCATGTACTCATGGTAATACTCGCCCAGTTGCCTCGGAAAAACCAAGCTTTAAAACCACCAATATTTGGCCCAACTATCGGTCGCGGAAAAAAATAGAGTAGAAACATTTTTAATCGGATGAATTTGAGCGCTCTTGTAGCGACCCGTACGTTTTCTAAAATTGTGCGTTGTTAACAGACACACCTTTAGGAAGTACTGGGGGGTTACTACCTGTATAAGTCTTACAAGGTGAGTGAACGTTAAGATGAACGCTAAGGGTATATTCACACGGGGACCTAAAGTCACAAATATCTGGGACGTTTGGTACCATGTATTTGTACCTTTGGGTGCCCATGTCATCACACACGACTTTTGTGTCCACAAAGGACAAAGTCGTGGTCTTGACATTTGTGCCTCACTGAATTGCACATAGTTACACTGGTTGCACAAAAAAATGTATAGAGTGTTTTTTTTTTTTTTTTT